TGTTGGGGGAGAAGCAACAAGTAGGATACGACACCTACAAGGATCAACTTCAAGACAACCAACCAAACACTTGACCCAATTTACCACAATTGATTAACCAAGCACACAAAATCAGCAACACATCAAATAAACCACAATAAAATATGAAGAATAAAGATGCAAACGACACACGATTTTTATACGTGGAAAACCCCTTCGATGTGAAGGATAAAAACCACGGGACTTATAGGGAGTCCGCCCTCTTCTTCTCTTATTATGCAAATTGAGGGTAAAAACACCCAAACTCAGTCTACAAGGATGTCACAGCCCACTAACAACAACATACATAAGAGCCATCAACAAGAGAGAAGGAAAATCACGATTATCACCCAAAACGCAGCGTCGCACCAGCTGCTATTACAGAAGATCCGTAGCTCCGATTGATGTGAAAATTGAACAGATTGAAGCCCTAAGTGTTGGGAACAACCTCTGAACATTTCAGCTCAATCCAACGGTCGGATCTCCGGCGCTGATCGAATTTGTGCGGCTGGTCTGTAAATTCTGCACCAGCACCTTTCCTCTCTCTATTCTGTTTTTTTTCTTTTCTGCTCTGTCCGTAAGTCCACCACTGCCCAGCCCTTTTTTCTCCTTTTTGTTAGTCAACAAAGTAAAGGAAAAACTTTCCTATTATTGGACCCCCACAAAGAAAAATGGAACCCTAATGAAAATGGGCTGGACCCACAACATTTTCAACTTCTCTTAGGGTTTGTTGTTCATTTTTTCAAAGGAACCAAAATATATTGACACAAAATATTACAAATCCTAATTTGGTGTGTGGAGCATATTTTAACCTAATTAGGTGCTTCTCCATTGAACTTATTATTATATTTATAAGAGCTTCATTATTAAAATGTAGTATCTTTACTTTTGCTTTTTGATAAAAAATTTTCCTTCATTAAAATTTTGGTGGATTTTTGAAGGTTCCTCCAAAACAACCGTTTGAATGGTACTATTTCCCCGCCACTAGCCAGCAAGCTTAATGAAGTGCCAATCGTGTAAGTAAAATGAATTACATGTTTTAATTTATAATCATTGCATGCATGCAGTTTGCCTTACTATAACTAATTTTCTGTATGTATAATTCGTTGGACATCTCAAATATGGGAGGGGTAGGCACCATGTTGTGCAGCCTTTAGGAATACTTGATAATCAGTCAAAGACAAAAGATGGAATAATTTATGCGAATCACATACATAGAATGTCTTCGGATTAATATTTTTTCTGTGATATTACTAAAATACTTCAATTAGATAAGACGTAATAAACAAACTAGCTAGAAGGTCTATGTGATATTCAATTTTTGAAACATAACATTGGGTGCTGTTATTTATAGAGAGAAAAGTTTAAGTGCTACATCGAGAAAGGACATATGTTTTAGTGTTATTTAGTATAAATTTCACATTTGAATATGGACAATAGACATTCAAAATTAAAGTGAGTTTTTTCATTTGAATGGTCACATAATTACTTGATGCAATATAAATAAAAGATATAGAAAAGAGATGCAGTTTAAAAAATATTTTTCACAAATTCTTAGTATACTTTATTTTAAAATAGTTCCATTTTGTTTTCAAAGACCAAAACCAAAACCTATACCAAACCAGAATCGTTCCATTCGTATTTTGTATTCAAATTTTGTTTTTTTCATTTCAGTTTATTTTTTGGCAGAATTCAATCGGTTTGGATTCAGTTTTCAATTTTTTTTTACGACCCACCCCTACATAAAACCCCCTTTGCCTCGATGGAGAAATAGCTTAGACTGATGACACATTGCTGAGTAAATTTAACAATGCATCAAACATGTAAATAGTGTGCACTCTTTTAACTCTATCAAGTGTATAAGAGCATGTGGAGTGGGCTTTGTAAGCGTCCATAAAGCCCCTATGAGGCCCATAAACACTCTCTTTAAGCACCATATCACTTCCAATTATTTAGGCGCCATACGTATGACGCCTTGCCCCTCCTTCCCATATTTTATTCCATCCAATCTTAATCATATACTTCATCATTTAAAAATATTTTTTAAAAAATAAATTTAACTACGAAATGGTTTAATGCACTATACAACTTTCACGTCATGTAACCCCTTGATGAGGTGGCTATAGCGTAGCAGGTCTTGAGGGCTGAGGCTCCATAACTAGACATTGTGTCAGCGAACTATTTAATATTTTCTCCGTTCTTGAGTATTTGTCAGGAAATCAAATTTAGTAAATTTTGACATTAAACTTTATAAAAATGATATTAGATATTGAAACTAAAATACTTTTATTGGATTTATTACATCAAATATTTTCAAAAGAATATTCTATCTAATAAGTAGTATACAATATATATTTTATTTAATTATATGTCAAAAATTAAAAAGATTAACCGAAAAAAGTCAAAATTGGAAGAAATTCAGGGATGGTTGTGATGTGATGAAAAAATCTTGGAATGTGTTGCATTCAAAACATCTCTAGTAGAGATATGAGAAATAGTTTGTCTATGCGGGATTCGAACCCACATCCGTAATATATAGATATCGCTCTACCATCTGAGTTAATAGGCAACAATTTGTTTTTATAGTCTCTCATCTTACATTTAGACGTCTTAAATGCACATTTTTATAATTTAAAATAGGCACACATTCAATGTGTCTCTAACCCATTTCTAAATGTATCACATAACATTTTAAATGCATCATCGTTTGTTGAAAATGCATTATCTAGAATATACAGATGCAACATATTTGTATTAGGAAGATTTCACTGAGATGTATCAATTTTTTTTGAGAATGCATAGTAAAAGAATGCATTATCTAACCCATTTCATCACATACAAGGTCACATTCCAAGATTTTCAACACATTCCAAGATTTAATAAGAATAAATATTATCCATTAGATTATATGTAATGAACGGTTGTGATGATAATAATCTTTAATGACTCATCACACGTTAAAAAAAGTAGGCATTTATTACGAGGCATAAAAATAGGAATTGATCCCCTTTTTCTACTTTTAAGGGCATAAACGTAATTAGTACCAAATCACTATAATTATGAGGCATTATTGCGTTGTTCCTTTTTCTTATTTTTGTTAGGAATACATCCTAGGCAATAATATACTATAATATTATAATTAAAAAATATTATAAATTAATACCATAACATGAGAGAAAAAATATGTATTAAAAAACATGTGTTTAGACAGAAACTGTTTATTGTATAGCAACTTATAGATTCATTGAGATCTATAAAACGACACCTATATTGAATATTATATTTTTATATTATCTACGTTTCACATTTAATTTCAAAGTAAGGAGTAAAATTTATAAATTCTGTTTTCTCTATTTTCTTACCAAATGTATATATTGTATAATTTTTAGTATGGTTTTTCGCGATGTGACATTCTCTTAATGCTACCCCCCATCCCAAATTAGAATTCTAAGTTTGATTTGACACCGAATTTAAAAAGAGTGAAAATGTATCATTGAAAATGCATCTTTGTTAGGAAACAATTTTTAATATCTTAAGTTTCTAGATTTATCTTGGGAGATGCACTATGATGACCAATAAATGCACTGTGATTTGACCTTATATTTTATTCTTTGTTTTATTCAATTGATTTTTGGAAGAGTGAATAATGAATCAGTAGTGACCTTGTATGTGATGAAAAAATCTTGGAATATGTTGCATTCAAAACATCTCTAGTAGAGATATGAGAAATAGTTTGTCTATGCGGGATTCGAACCCACATCCGTAATATATAGATATCGCTCTACCATCTGAGTTAATAGGCAACAATTTGTTTTTATAGTCTCTCATCTTACATTTAGACGTCTTAAATGCATATTTTTATAATTTAAAATAGGCACACATTCAATGTGTCTCTAACCCATTTCTAAATGTATCACATAACATTTTAAATGCATCATCGTTTGTTGAAAATGCATTATCTAGAATATACAGATGCAACATATTTGTATTAGGAAGATTTCACTGAGATGTATCAATTTTTTTTGAGAATGCATAGTAAAAGAATGCATTATCTAACCCATTTCTAAATGTATCACATAACATTTTAAATGCATCATCGTTTGCTGAAAATGCATTATTTGGAATATACAGATGCAACATATTTGTATTAGGAAGATTTCACCGAGATGCATCAATTTTTTTTTTTGAGAATGCATAGTAAAAGAACGCATTATCTATTATTTACATTGATTCTGAAAAATGTATTTTCTTCTCATATTAATGCATTGTGCAGATTCTCATAATGCACCATAACATGAAAAAACAAACAATAAGTAAGGAAAAAAATAAAATCAGTCAACCCCAATGAAGTCCTAATTGTCCAACATCGATCATTGCCAAGCCCAACAGTTTCTAACAAATAGAGAAAAGTAAACAAAAAGTAAAAAATAAGAAAGGAAATAAAAGCGTGAATACAAATATGAAAATACAAAATGCATCATAAAAATTATGAATTGGGAAAAAATGAACTAGATGCGCACAGGAATAGGAAATGGGAAAACAAAATGCAAAAAAATACGGAGTAGAAATTAGATGCACCATGCAAGTTGGAAAAAAACACATACTGGAAATTGGGTAAAACAAATCAATCAGATACGCACATATTTTTATACAAAAATTTAGAAATATGAAGGATTAGATAAACACTGAAATTTTTAAGATGTAAATAAATGAATTGGAAGATAAAACTCTAGAAACTATTTGAGATTTAGAATTGAACATTTGACGTGCGCTAGACTTGCGGAACTGAATATAATAGAAAATATAATAGAAATACATAAAGGGAAATGGTTACGAAAATACATAATTACCCTTAGCTGATGCAATCTAATAGGCGATGCAATCCAGTAAATCTAACGGTGGAAATGTTTTCTTATTTCTTTCACTAGATTCTATTCTCACCGGAACCGAAATATATATATATATATATATATATATATATATATATATATATATATATATATATATATATATATATATATATATATATATATATATAGACACACACACACACATAATATTAAAAACTAATTTTAAAAAATAAATGTTTCAAATAATATAATTGATTAATTAATACTAAAAAGTTAATTAATTAATTTCATTTAGTACTATTTATGGAGTGCAAAAGTTAATGAACTTGTGACGTATCTTTCTAAGGCCATTTCAACGAGAAGCCTTTCTCCATTCCTTTTCGCAATCCTCACTAGTGTGATGCCATCATTCCACTCTTTTTCTCTACAAAACCAAAACATTTATAACGTTATCATCCTGTCCTCGCGCCTCTCAATCTATTTTACATGATTCATACTTTTCATTTTGAAAAACTGTAAATGTAATAATATACAACTTAGCTATAAAATATTTGTTGGGATTTTTAGCGCGTAAAATCCTGAAAAATATTGAGAATGACGGAAAAATGAGAAAACAAACACAAAAAAATATATGAGAGAAATTAAGTTTCTATTTTTTCAGGACAATACAAAAAAAGCTCTCTTGAAAGTGAGATACTAAAAAAAATTGTCTCCATCTCGATTTGTTTCACTGAGATCATCATCAAATTTAAAGAAAAAAAATCATTGTGGATCCACCTCGATCAATCCACCGAGATCACCGCCACCTTGAAAACCTTTCACGTGAATACATCTTGCTCAAATTTAGCAAGATCTATGCCACCCTTTCTTGTCTCCGTGGCTCCACCTTACTTAATACCACAAGGTCCCTGCCATTCCAGTTGTCGTTGTACTCGTGGCTACTATTGTAATGCCTTGAATCTAACCCGTTACAGCAGCGAGAATGGGGGTCTCGCTGCTTGGTTAGCAAGTCGGGGGGTCCAGGGGGCGACGCGCCCCCTGGCATGGGGTCCGGGGGCGGAGACGCCCCCCGGCCCGACGGTATACAATGTTGATGTATTGTGCTATTAATTATATGTCAATTTTGTATTTTAGGCCTAAGCTTGTTAGGGTGTAGCCTAGAACTA